ACACTATTTTACTGAGCGTGTTCCTTCCCGCTTAACTGCTAAAGTGGGACTGTTATATAATTTAATCCCTTTTTTTCTGGTTGGTAAGGACATCCAGCCACCTTCTGCAATGACCTTTGGTTCGTCTAAGCCGCCAAATCTGCAGACAATCATATGATGGTTGTAAAAAGGAGTGTGTGTGCGCGTGTGAGAGAGAGAGAGAGAGAGAAAGAGAGAGAGAGAGAGAGAAGGCTAAAGATAGAAAGAGGCATGTCAGCTGATCAGAGCAAACTGACTTATTCAGAATTCGCTCCTGGCAAAGGGCCCCTTTGGAGAGAAAGAAAGCGAGTTCAGAAATGCTGGACAGGGCTTCATAAATCAACCCCGGAGCTGCCCTAAAATACAGGAGTCGCCTTCCAAAAATGATTGCCATGGATAGCCACGAAAGAGGGAAGAAGGAACTTGGGCACAGCTGCTCAATTGGTATGAAGGCGAGGGTGTTTCTAAAATTGCAACACGCAATTCCCGTCACACTCGGTGCCAAAATATTTCAGGGCTCGCATTAATCTCCTTGCAGCAAAGAAGCCACGGGGCGAGAAGAATCCTTCCTTGTCTCAACGGGGGGAGCATCTCCGAAACTCCCACCGGGAAAACCTAAGACGGCTCCTAAAATCCATGGAAGTCTTTCCTTATAAGGAAGACCCCCCGCAGATGACTTTGGTGGCTAAACTTGAGCCTAAATACTCGAGGTTTTTAAGAAGAGACTGGAGAACCATTTGTCTGAAAGGGTAGAGGGTTTCCTGCAGGTTGGGATAGAAGACCTCCAAGGTCCCTTCCAGCTCCTATTCTATTCTATTCTATTCTATTCTATTCTACTCTATTCTATTCTATTCTATTCTATTCTATTCTATTCCATTCCATTCCATTCCATTCCATATCTCTATCTCTCTTATTCTATTCTATTCTATTATTCTATTCTATTCTATTCCTATTCCATGTTCTACTCTACTCTTCTTATTCCATGTTCTGTTCTGTTCTATTCTATATTCTATTCTATAATCTAGTCCATATTCTATTCTATTTTATTCTATTCTTATTCCTATTCCATGTTCTACTCTACTCTATTCTATTCTTATTCCATGTTCTATTCCATGTTCTATTCCATATTCTATTCCATTCCATATTCTATTCTATTCTATTCTATTCTATTCTATTCTATTCTATTCTATTCTATTCTATTCATTTGGAATAGCCTACTAACCAAATAGCTTTAGCCTGTGGGTGTCACATCAAGAGAATCAGGGGATAAACCACGGGGAAAGAGGAGCTTAGGCCAGATCGGGCAACGTGCCAGTGCAAAAGAGCAGCCTGTGGGATGGGTGCACGGCCAACTCTGAAATTACCACACGGTCACATGCTCCTGCTCGACCCACAGCTGTCCCTCCAGGTCAATTAATGATTAATCAATGCCGTAATAAAAAGGAGGAACACCTGTTATCTGCTACGGAACAGGAGGAACAGAACACCAAACCCTGCAGAGGTGCCTACACCGAGTTGGTGGTGCCCT